CGCAAAGAGCGCCTCCTAGGCTGTCGCCAAACAAAAGGAACCCGCTCCCGGCGACTGCGCGGAGCAACGCAAGTTAGGCGAAGGCGTTAATTGCACGTTGGGGCGCAGAGTTATGGCTTCTGTCATTGAAAATCTGGCAGTCGCATGTTTGTGTGCGCGCGCTGTCGGTTCCACAGTATTGGCGCGCAGATGGTTGCCCCCCAAGTTGTCACGGTGTGGGTTCATTTTCTTCGGTCCTCTGTTTCGTTTCTTCTTCTCCTGCTCAAGGTGTTGGTGCCTTGCGCAGTATTGCAATGCCTGCTTCCTGGCGGACTTGCCGCGCAGGACGCTGTCCTAGCCCGTGGCAAGGAAGCCGCGATACGGGTCGCACCTCTTCCCATGAACGCTGCGTTGCTAGCTCCTCCGTGGCCAAGTCTCCTCTTGTGCCTTTTTTCGGCGTCGCGGTGCGGAATGAAGCACGCGCCCGCCTGCCATGTTTGCTTCGTCCTGCGCGCACGTTGCTTTGGCCACGTCGCGTTTGCTTCGGCCCCCTCTCCAGGTGCAGTCTGGCCCCTTGGCCTGCTGTGCCCGTAAATTGCCGCGCGCGCCGTGGGTCTTTGCAGCGGGTCTCGTTGTACGCCCTGCTACACCCACGGGTGCCAGCTGCGGGCGCCCCGCGCCTGTAGGAGGTCTCCCTCTCCCTGGGCACGCCTGTCCAGGGATGTGCTTCCCTCCGGCTTGTTCATCTCCTTGTGGCTCCTCTGTGGCTCCTGGCCACGGAGCGATTCTCTCAGGTCGCCTTGGTGGAGAACACTGCGCACACCTGCCAAGGAATTGTTCAGAGCCGGAGGCGGCAACAGCGTGGATCTCCCAGGGAAAACCCCCCACCCCCCTTTCATACTGCCGTCCTGCTGCCGATGATTTTCGTGAGCATCCGCCCCAGCTCTGCTGGCGCACAAGCAGCGATGGCAATCGGTCGTCGGAGATCTCTGGAGACGGGCCAGAAATGAGGGGCACGCTCTGGCGATCCACGCCGTTCTCTCCACCTCTTCATCCTCGTCTCTTCCTCCTGCCTCCCCCTTCTCCCTGCATCGAACGAAGGAGATTGCAGGTTCAAGTGCAAGCGCACCAACGCCCTCCTCCGTTCCGCCTTCACTTCTTCTCGTCCCACTCCGCGTCCGCCCCATCCCCCTCCGACGCCGGAGGACTTGGGCCCTCCCCCTCTAAGTCGTCTTCCCTTGACCTTTCACGGGGTGCGTGCTTGCCGAGCTGCGTCCAGCCACGGTGACGGTATTCGCTTCCATCTTCCTCGCCCGTCATGGCTACGTCGACTCAGGCGAACAGTTGCGGTAGGGTCCGCGCAATGGAAACATGCAAGGGCCAACAGCGTGCAGCAGCAGCACGAGCCGCAAAGTGAACAGTAGGCCACAGGAGGAACAAAACAAACACAACAGTAACATATCATCGGCCCTTCAGCGTCAACACCAACACCAACGCCAGTGTTCACGCTGGCACCAATGCCAGCGCCTGCACCATCACCGACGGCAGCACCGACGCCAGCACCAGTGCCAGCCCTCCACCTGCTCCGACGCCAGCACCGACGACAGCCCCGACGCCAGTTCCTATACTGGCACGAACGCCAACGCCTTCACCAGCACCGACGTGCGCTGCGTCGCCAGCACCACCGCCGTCGGCGCCTGCTCCGGCGCCAAGGCCAACGCTGCACCAGCACCAACAGCAGCACCGACGCCAGCATGAACGCCAGCGCCTCTTACGCCAGCGCCGACGCCAGCACCGACGCTTCCGCTCGTGCGCACTACCAGCGGCACGCTGTGGTCCACTCCGGCACCCGCAGTCGCAGCCGCCAGTGCAGCCGCAGGACGCTTGGAACTCTGAACTGTGCGCTCTGAGGCGTGGTTTCTGCGTCGGGGTTGTCTGAGGTATTATGGGTGGCTTCTACTGTTCGTCCCCTGGATTCGTTTCTCTTTGCCTCCAGGTTCTGCCCTCAGGACCTGTGTTGAACATGCACCAGGGCACGCACGATTGGGATGACCAGTGGCACGACGCCGAGCTGCGGGCCGACGAGACCCGTCGGTGAGCTGTGCGCCCTCGCGTCGGCCACGCGGCCGGGACAAGCGGCTTGGAACTCTGCTTCTTTCCCCCTCCCCTCCCTCCGCCTCCTCGGTTGGCGCATGGGACGCCCGATGCCTTTGGGGGTTGCGGGTGGGCCGCCGGCCGCCCCTGCCCGGCGAGCCGCTTCCGTCGGGGGCCGCTCTCGGCCCGTGCAGTCTCCGTCGCCTGCGCGTGTGTCTCCGGGCGGCCACGCCGCAGCCGCCCGAGTTCGTCTTGGGTCGTTTCCGGGTTTCTGGCGTGCGATCCTCGCCCTGGTGCCTCGCGCCTGGCTCCGGCGCTGCCCTCTTGCAGGTTGTCCGCTTGCACTTCTCTCCGTGTGCCGTAGCTCGGGGGCGTGCAGGTTAACGTGGCGGCCCACGGTGCCCAGCATTGTTCCTTAGCTTGGTCACCTTCCACGTCATCGACTGGCTTATACCACCCAGTCAGATGTCTTGTGGCATGTCAGGAATTTGGGGTATGTTCCGTCCTTGTGTTACTATGCTGCGTTGCTGTCCGTGTTTGCTGATGTGTGAGCCCGTTTATACGAACGATCGTTCGGATCATGGGGGGATGCACTCACAACGGTTAGATACATGTATCCGTTCACCTCTCGCTCTTCCGTTATCTTCCTCTTTCCCCCTTTGGTGGTTGGTGTTTCCTGTCTTCTGGCAGCAGGTCGATTCCTCATGTGCAGCATCAGCCTTCACCTCCTTCAATTGGGGCTGCGGATCTGCATCGCGATCTCTTCTCACTTTGCTCTTGATGCGAAAGGCTCGCGTGTGAGATAACACCTTGCTTATGGAGTTGTTCTCGTGGAGTAAATATCATCGGCCCTTCAGCGGCTCCAGACCCCCAGGCGGGGGAGGAGGAAGAGGGGGGGATAAGACGGACGATGACCAGGACGAGGACCACACTTGACGGAGAAGGTCTAGGGGACGAGGAGGAGGGGAAGGAGCTCCTCCTCGGAATCTGGAGGGCATGCACTACCAGGGGCGGACTCTCTTTCAATCCCAGGACTTTTTGAGGGTCGGGGACGACGTCGGGGTGGGGTGGTGTATATTTTTCCCCCGTTTTCCCAGGGAAACAACGCACAATGTATACACCAGCACCAGGATCCTTTTTCTTGTGCGAGTTTCGGTGCGGAGCCGGAAACAGTTTCGGTGTATAGAGTTCGGTTGCCTACCTCCTTTTCATCCTCCGCCTCTTCCCCCCCCCATCCCCCCCGATTCGATTCGACCGTGGGCGACCGAGTTCGGCCACAGTCGACCCTGTTCCCCAGACCTGCGGCGTCGTGCTCTTTCAGCACCGTGTCCCTGGGCTCCTCGATCCACTCCGAGGGACTGCTTCTTCATCCTGAGACCGTCTCGTGACAGCCCCAGGACCCGAAAACGGACCCCTAAGTCCCGAGAAGTGGTTTGTTCTGTGTTCTGCTGATCCCAACGTCGGACTTGCTGCTCAAGACGTTGGGATCGCGAGGCTGCCGATCAGCTAGGCGGCATGCTGGCAGCTACGGTAGGTTCCTGCGGCGATGGCGCACCGGCGGCGCTGGCGAAGGCGTTCAAAGTTGAATTCTGCGACGTTGAAGCATCGATGGACACGGTGACGCCACTAGACCCGACGGAATTCAACTTTGAACGATCGGGGCCGCGATCGATTCAACGTTGAACGATCGACACGGTGTCAAAAACCTTCGCGCGCCGATGCCGCGCGAACATACCGTAGGCTCCGTCCAGGGGCGCGTTCAGGGGTGCGCTCAAGCCAGACTTTCGAGGCGGATGCGGCCGTGGGGGGGCGAGGGGCCCTCTCCTGGAGGCCCAGCGGAAGGGCGAGCGCCGATCCACAGCCTCCGTCCTCGAACCTCGCGAGGCCTCCGCCAAAACGAGTTACGAGTCGATTCCTGGACCCCTCCTGGGGACCATCCTGGCAGCGGTGTTGCGAGCCGCGTCCAGCCGTGGCGGCGAGAGCCTCCACGGAGGTCTCGCGACCTCGGACCATCGAGCTCTCTTGCTTCTTGCAACTCGGAGGAGGAGGAGGGCGGCGGAGGAAGAGGGAGGGTCGAGGGAGGAGGAGAGGGAGGAGGAGGAGGAGGAGGAGGAGGAGGAGGAGGAGGAGGAGGAGGAGGAGGAGGAGGAGGAGGAGGAGGAGGAGGAGGAGGAGGAGGAGGAGGAGGGAGGAGGAGGAGGAGGAGGAGGAGGAAGAAGAAGAGGAGGGAGGAGGAGGAGGGAGGAGGAGGAGGAGGAGGAGAAGGAGGAGGAGAATGAGGAGGAGACGCAGGAGGATGAGGGGGAGGAGGAGGGAGGAGGAGGTGGAGGTTTGTCGGGGCTGGTCGTTATTGCTGTTCTGCTCGCCTGTCCTCCCCCGCGCTCGCCCAACTGCTTCATACAGCGTGCGCGGGGCTCGCTGCCCCCTGGCTCGGCCGCCTGCTGCTTTGGAACAGCTGGGTGGCGTGCCTGGCAGCCCAGGCCCGCGCGACGCCAGGCCCAGCCCGAGAAGAAGGAAGGGTGGAGGAGGACGACTTAGATAAGGAACGAGGTGTCTGCCCAGAGGAGGCACACCCCAGGAGAACTGACCACGGACTTCAGAACAGATCTCTGCAATCTCCACGGGCAACCTGCCGAACCAGGTGAGAATGAGCTTCCGAAATACGGCAAGGAGCGTTTGCTTAGCGTGTCGCGCCGCTCGTTCTGGCCCACCTCGCTCTGGCGCGACACGCTAAGCACGTCCCAGTCCCGGAGCGTCAGCTCCCCGAGCTCTTCCCACCTTCCCGCCTGGCGGAGCGGCGCGACACGCTATCAGCTCGCAGGGCACAGCGTTTCGCCGGGGCCGCCGCCGCGACACGCCAAGGCAACAGCTCCCGCCCGTGAGCCGGCGACGCCGCGCCGCGGCATCGCCAGCGCCAGCGCCCGAAGGTGGATCAGCAGGGCGCCGCGGGCTCCCCCAAGCAGGACCGCGGCCCGCCGTCGCCGCCGCCGCCTTCGCCCGCCAGTGCCGCCGACGCCGCCGCCCGCCGCCGCCGCCGCGCGGCGAGGGGCCCCCCCTCGCCCTCCTCCTCCAATCCTGCTCCTCGTCCTCCCCCTCCTCGTCATCCTCTTTTTCTTCTCCTTTTCCTCCTCGTCCTCCTTCTCCTCCTCCTCCCCCTCCTCCTCCTCCTCCTCCTCGCTCGATGGTCATGCCACTACGTGCAGACGTTGCGCTTATAGATAGGTGGGGAAATGGGCGCGCCTCGGCGGGCCTGACCCCCTCACTGCAAACACTTAAATTCGACATACGCAAGATGTCCTGTGCCATGCCAGACTCTTTGATCCAGGCCACTGAGGAGATATACCCCGTGACATTAGTTTAATTGTCATGTACACTTGTACCGAGTATGTCCGAATCTTACCATTCCCCACCAACATATGAGTCATCAGCCGAAAGCGTGGATCAGTTCATCATAGTCAACGATTCGGCAGGATTTAGCAGATCAGTCAGTCCCCCCAGGTCCCAGCAACATTTCCAATTTACGTGCCTTTGATTCACTTGGCAGATGAAGATCCCCAGACTTCCAACACAGGGGGTAGGGCTGTTCCTTTGTCAAGCCTAGATCTTGCGTTGGGCCTGAGGCAGGAGACGCGCACCCCATCCAAGAGTTCAACATCGAAGTCAGGTCAGCGGGCCTCAGATGTTTTGACACTGGTCGCGAGGTATCTGTGCTAGCTGAGTCGGAGATGAGTTCACTGCACTCCTTAGCGAAAGGCGGGTCGGGCGACTTAGCCGTTCGACGTCGCAAGAGGATTACGGCCACTGTCGGTTTGACCAGGGGTGCCATCGATCCTTCAAGAAGCTTTCATATAGAATGGGGCGGCGTACCTGGGGGCGGTTTGACCGTTCCCCAGGTTCCTCGTCACCAGCTGTTCAGATAGCAGGGCAGATCGAAATATCCCAGTCCCCAGTTTGTCTTTTGAGTTTCTGAGAGAAGGAGACGCCTGATCACATGAGGGTCCCCACTTGGGAAACGCTGTTTCTGAAACGACCGGATGAATGGACGGGGATCGACATAGACCTCGATGTGCCACCATTTCAGATTTCTGGCTTAGCACGGAGTTTTGGACTGGTGTCTCACTGCCCCATTGTTCGCGAACTTGATGGATTAGACGACGAACTCCCTGACTTGATGGAATTCGTCTATCAAGATCAGGAGATGGGAGGTTATATTGAACACAAGAAGGGGAAGGCCGGCTCCGATTTTACGAGGCCCCGATCGAACGGCGTCTCCCATTCCAGGGAGACAATTGAAGCTCGAATCGCCCGTGATCGGCCGTACGATGTCGAGGAGTAGCCGGGGGTCTAGCAGCCCTTCTGGACGAGCTGCTTACAGTCGCACTCCGAGGAGTAGCCGGGGGTCTAGCAGCCCTTTTGGACGAGCTGCTTCCAGTCGCACCTCGAGGAGTAGCCGGGGGTCTAGCAGCCCTTCTGGACGATCTTCTTCCAGTCGCACCTCGATCTTCGCAAGCGGCTGGGCCTCTGAAACCTCTTTGCGCCGTCTCTCGAAGCAACCCCGGGGCCTCTGAAACCTCTTTGCGCCGTCTCTCGAAGCAACCCCGGGGCGATCCTGGGCCGCCCCACGGTCGAGGAGAGAGCCGGGGAGCATGGGCACCCAAGCAGCGACGAGATATCGGCCCACCACGGAGACGTCCTAAGAACCTGCTGTGGTTTGCAGGCGACGGGGGCCGAACGGCCCAACGACGGCCGAGGAGCGCTGCCCGGAGAACAAGAAAGGCCAAAGGGGCCGAGAGCGTGCCCCGCAGTCGCCCGGTGCGCGGCGCGTGCCCGGGTGCCCGCAGAGGTTGTGGTGTGAAGCGGGCTTGTCCGGAGTGTCGCTCGGGGGCGGTCAGGAGGGGGGTGATGACTATCAGGCGATCGCAAACATGGATCAAGAGGGAGTGGATTAGCGACGGGTCCTGTTTCCACGGGAAATCGCGGAGTTCCGCCGCCGAGCGAGGCGGCACCGGCCGCAGTTTGGGGAGGGCACTTTCCCTGATCCATGGATTTGGCGACCATGCGCCAAATCCGTGGATCGCTAATCCATGTTTGCGCGCCCCCGAACTAGGGGGGTGGATGTGATGGCGTGGGCCATGATATCTTCCCAGATTTCATGGCGCCTCTTCCTGTGTCATTACGTCCCCAGCCCCCCCCTGGGCCGCGCTCATGCCGCCGGCCATGACTTGCGCCCCCCCCTCTTGGACGCCCCCCTCTTGGCCGCCCCCGAGTCTCGACATGAAGGAACACATTTGTCAGCATTTGACTGTCAGCCGGGCAAGAGAGAGAGAGAGAGAGAGAGAGAGCAAGAAAAGGCTGGTGCGAGGGAGAAACTTCTCAGAGATCAGATGAACGCTCAGATGAAAATGCCATTGGAGGAAATTGAGCGCCAGAAAAAACAGCAATTACAGCAGATGCAGCAGGGAAAGAGCGCGTAATATCATTGGCGCAGCCAGCACCGCCGAAACAGCAAGAAGCCCCAGAGGCAGTTCAGCTGTCCATGCCAGATGCTGAATTAGAAAAGATGAAAGCTGAGGAAGCAGCAACATCGGCAATCGTGGAGGAAGAAGAGAGAGAGAGAGAGAGAGAGAGAGAGCGGCAGAGAAAGTGGCTGAAAAAGGAGCACATGCAACGACAGTTGCAAGCTGCCAAAGAGGTAGCTGGAATTATCGAACAATATGATTGCAGTCCTTCAATGAAGGACGCCTCTGGCTGCAGGTGCGACGCAGCACGATCGGGGGCGAATTGCTTCGGCGCGCGAGCAGCAAAGAGTCCAGGCGCAACATGCCATCAAGTAAGAAGCAAGGCCGGTCAGAGAAGACAGGATCCACCAGGAAAGCGCACATGCAAACTTTTGCATTATCCGACGTGAGCTGGCCCGAGAGCGAGGGGATATGCAGGAGAAGCCAAACCGACTTCACTACGGGCTGAGCCTGTGATGTGATGCGGTTGTCTTGCCGACCAAGGGCTTCGAACGCTCTGCCAGAGCGACGCTGGGGCTCAGCCCTCAGAGCCGTCCTCGAGGCACGCGGGCCCCCCTCGCCAGATGAACCTGCCCTGCCCCGACTCAGTCGTCTGGACGCAGGGCGCGCTGTGGCAGTTCGATCGTCCGGGGACGGGGGGGAAGGCATTCCATTGGAAAATGTCATTTCCTTCTTTGATGCCAATGCAGGCGGACTGTGTTCAGTGCGGTAGTCCACGTTGCAAGGATCACGTAGATCCAGGCGCCAAGAGATGCGCTGCTTGTGCCTAGAAGAAGTCCCGCGCTGAGGCAGAGGCTCATGAGAATGGTTGAAAAAACGATGATCAACAGAAGTTGTCTCAACACTGGGATATCGACATGCAAAGGTCTGCTTTCCTGAAGGCACAGAAACAAATTGTGGACCGAATTCCTTAAGAAAAGGAACAGCTCGCGAAGATGGAGCATGTATTTGACGAGGAGACGAGCCAACTTGCAATGATGTCGTCGCAGAGACGGGAGCAAATCCCCCGGGGGGAACGATGCCATCGTATTCCCGCGTGCCAGCAGCCCACAAACACAGGACATTGAAGGACGCACACCACCTCAGGCGTTAGAACAGATACTCGACGGCAGGCCTCACTTCCCCACCGAAGCGCTTCCCCCACAAGTTCGGTCAGCATTTTCGCCGGGTCCCTTGATTGCGTCGCCCTCGGTGGGACGCGCCCAGGCAACTCCCCTTGCGGCGGCGGAGATGGTGGGGGCGAGCCCGAAGATGAGGATGACAGAAGCAAGGATAAGGGCAGTGCTGTTCCTAGCGCTGGCGATGGACCCCCTGGTGGAGATGTTGGCGGGGGGGATGTCTCCCTCCCACTGAAGTGCGTTAGATGCGAGTCTTGGGTCCCAATGAGCTTCGGGCGTGGAAGTTGCGTTTTTTCTGCTTCGCCAGATGTTGCGGGTGCGCAGCCCTGGATCATGTAGGCATGCACCCGAGTGTCGATGAGAAAGCCCAGAAACACTCGGGACAGTTAAACCGTTTGACAACATAGTGATTATACATGTTGTTCACGCTCTCGCATTTTCGCTTCCGACCAGATTTTGAAGCCTCCAGATGGCTCCCAAGTCGTCCAAGATAGCCCCAAGAGATTCCCAACACGGGCCCAAATCGGCCCAAGAGGCCCTCGAGACGGCCCTAGGACAGCCCAAGAGGTCCCCAAGAGGACCCAAAGAGGCCCAAATAGGTGCCCAAGAGGGCCCCAAGAGAGCTCCATGGAGGCCGCAGAGGGCCCCCAGAGCTTCCCCAGGGGGCCTCTGAACGCTCTCGGTGCCAAGGTGGCCCCAAGAGGTCCCCGCACGCTCCCAGGAGGCCCCGAACAGGCGGCCCCCAAGAGGCCCCCAGGACCCCCCTGAGAAAATTCTCAGCCATTGTAGCGCACGGCGGGACGCCAAGCTTCAATAGGGCGCTTAAAGTTTGCGACTTCAGCTTCACCTTAGCTGCTCGAGCTTGAGCTTAAGATCCCGCGTGAGAGCCAAGCGTGGTTTGGGGAGGTTTAGGGATGCTTGAAACGCACATGTCGGCGGTCATCACACGAAGGCAATCGTTTGCATTGCAGTTGTGTGTTCGGTGATGCAGTTGTTTGTTGCATTACGGTGTGTTTTGCATTTCAGTTTTTTGTGCGTTGTAGTGGCGTTGCTCGAGCTTGAGCTTAGGATTCCGCGTGAGATCTAAGCCTGACTTCGGGAGGTTCAGGGAGGGTTGAAGGGCACATGTCGGGGACCATCACACAGAAGCAGTGTGTGCGTATTGCAGTTGTTGTTTGCATTGCAGTTTTTGTTGCATGACAGTCGTTCGCGTTGCATGTTTTGGAGGGCTGCAGTGGTGCTGCTCGAGCTTCAGCTTTGGACTCCGCGTGAGAGCCAAGCGTGGTTGGGGAGGTTCAGGGAAGGTCGAAACGCACATGTCGGCGACCGGCACACGGAAACATGTTTTGCGTGGCGCAGTCTTGGTTTCTATTGCAAGTATTGTGCATTGCATGTTTCTTGCGCTGTAGTGGCGCTGCTCAAGATTGAGCCTAGGATTCCGCGTGAGAGCCAAGCGCGGTTTGGGGGAGGTTTAGGGAGGGTTGGAGCGCACACGTCGGCGACCAGGCGAAAACAGCTGATTTGCATTGCTGTGTTCTTTTGCGTTGTAGTGGCGTTGATCGAGCTTGAGCCCAGGATTCCGCGTGGGAGCGAAGCGTGCTTTGGGGACGTTCGTGGAGAGTTGAAGCGTACATGCCGGCCACAACCACACGAGAACATGTTTTGCAGGGCAGAAGTCTCCACAAGATTTCCAAGAAGTCTCCAAGAGGGTTCCACGAGGGTTCCAAGAGACTCCCAACAGTCTGAGACCAGGAGCCTCTTGTATGTTTGCTTTGCAGTTTTGTCCATTGCAGTTTTCTCTTGCGTTGCAGAAAGCTCCCAGAGGTCCGCAGAAGGGTCCCGAGAGAATTCCAAGAGGATACCAAGAAGGCCACCAGCAGTACCATATCAGGAGCATATGGTACAGTACTGTGCGAGTCTGTGTGGGTGTCCCCCGCAGGCATCCTAGCCCACCGGATGGGGTAACCATTCTTCAACGTGTATGTTTTCCAGGCCCTCTGTCCCACCGTATGGAATAATCAGCTCCCGCAGGGGGGCAAGGAGGAGGAGGAGGAGGAGGAGGAGGAGGAGGAGGAGGAAGAAGAGAAGAAGCAGGAGGAGGAGGAGGAGGAGGGGGAGGAGGAGGAGGAGGAGGAGGAGGAGGAGGGGAGGAGGGAGGAGGAGGAGGAGAGGAACAGGAGAGGAGGAGAGGAGGAGGGAGGAGGAGGAGGAGGAGGAGGAGGAGGAGGAGGAGGAGGAGGAGGAGGAGGAGGGGGGGGAAGAGAAGGAGGACGAGGACGACGACGAGCAGGATGAGGAATAGCAGGACAAGCAGGAGGAAAAGACGACAGACAAGGCCCGCGAGGACGAGCATGAGGACGAGGAGGGGGGGAAGCGGTTTGACGGGAAGGAGGAGGACGGGGAGGTGGAGGAAGAGGAGGAGGCCCCTGTGGAGCTCCTTGTGCTTTCGGACCCCCCTAATGCCTTTGTTTTCACCGTTGCAGCATTTCATTTCTATAACATTGTCAGTCGTCTCCCAGGGATGTCCAAAGAGTCTCCCAAGGTGAAGTCCAGGCGATCCTGCCACAGGCGCGGGCTCAGGTCTGGAGGCTGCCGTGCTCATCGTCATCGTGATCATAAACTTGTTGCGCCTCGGCTACGAGCCAGGAGGAGGAGGAGGAGGAGGAGGAGAAGGAGGAGGATAAGGAACACTGCTTCTGACGGTGCCAGGGGCCCGGCGACAGTTCCAGAGAGGCCGACATCCAACAAAAAACGACGTTGTCATCGTTGTCGTCCCCGTCCTCGACTTCGTCGTCATCGTCGTCCTTCCGCTCCTGGCGTCGCAACAGCCAGGGCTGGGACCGAAATCGCTCCTGCGTGCAGTTCGGATGCGGCGGAAAGGCAGCCATGCCAGTTCTTCTGCCTGACCCGAGCGCATCGTAAGGCGCTGATTCGTTCGCCTCGAGCTCCTGAGAATCGGAAAAAAAAGCTCCCCTAGTGCCCCCCCCCCTGGGTGGTCCAGAAGGCCGCCGGAGTGCCCGCGCTGAACTTCCAAGCGGGCCACATCAGCCAAACACCAAAAGGAATTCCAACACGTTGTCCTTGATTTTCTGGATTTCTTTTTTGTTGCGAACGTGTGGTTCCAAGATGGCCTCGGAGGCCCAAGTGGCCCCAGAGAGAGTCGCAGGACTGCCCAAGAGTGGCCCAGGACTGCCGCGAATCTCAAGCCTCAGTGCGACTTCAAACACCAACGCGGGGGTTCTCAAGCCAATGGCCCTATCATCTGGACACGGTCCCTCTGGCGCGCTATACGCCCAGCCTCATGGAAAGCTGAACTTGCGCGCGCGAAACGCGTGAGATGGTTCTAGTTCATACAGTGGAGACCCATGACAAGGAACACCCTGCTTGCCTCCAAGGCGCCCTGGGTTTCCTGGTTTTCGATGGCTTTGCCGTGGAGAACGTGACGTTCCCACGCAACACATGCATGGACGTTCTTAGATGTCAGGGTTGGGTTTTTAGTGGGAGGTTTCTTGTGGGCTGGCCTCCACTGGTGATCGTTTTCTTATTCATTGTTTTGCTGCCGATCGGCGCGGGCCCTTGGACCCCCCCCTCCTCCCCCTCCATGGAGTTGATTGTTGCTGTTTTTGGCGTCTGTTTCGAGAGGGTGGAGTCTTCCCCATAGGACGCCCTGCTGCGCACAGTCGCACCAAGCAGAGGTCCGGAGCCAGAAAGGACCCCCCCCTCCTCCCCCCCCCCCCTTCCGCCCAATGTCGAAACGCCACATCAGGAAACGCTCACCCGTATGTCGTCGGAAAGCTGGCCCCCCCCCCCCTTTCGCAGGGCGCGGCGGACGCGGCGGCCTGCGCGGCCGCCGCCCGGGAGGCCGTCGAGCGCAGCACGCCCCACGGCGGCCAGCGCCTCCCGGTGGCCCAGCTCGCCGAGCTCGTCGGCGCGGCCACGCGGAGCCCAGAGGCGGGCGCCTGCTTCGCCATGGCCGTCGGCGAGCTGGACGGCGGATGAGAAAAGGGCAGCCCTACCTCTACCCTTCCCTCGTTTTCCCCCTTTTGGGCCTCCTGGGTAGCCCTCGTCGCCACCGCTGGATTCGCCTCGAGATCCTGGGCAGAGCGCACCCCGGTAAAGGTACGGGGAGTAGCGTTGATTCGGGCCTGTCCCTCTACAGGAGGAATGTTCAAAAATATAGGAAAATTGTATGGGGACGGTCTTTTGATTATGTTTGAGTACTTTTCTAAATTAATTTGACGTTTTCTATTTTTCATCGAGAATCGGCCTGTAGGAGGACACAACCGAGCTAAGAGTAGCGGTATCGGTACCTTGTTGGTATCCCCAGGACGCGGGGCTGCGCGCGGAGCTGGCGGACCGCGTGGCGGCCCTGCGCGAGCACTTGTGCGCCGAGGCTCGGTGGAGGAGGGGATGCCGATGCCCCCACGGGCCTCCGGCAATCTGATTCTTTTCGTCGAATTCGGTGCCTCGGGGCCGCCTCGGGGCCTCGGGTTAAGTCGGGCCTGTCCCTCTACAGGGAGAATATTCAAAAATAGTAAAACATTTTCGAGGGACGATCTGCTTGACTACTGTTGGATTGTGTTTGAGCGTTTTTCTGGGTAATTTGTCATCAAACATCCGCTGTAGGAGGACATGCCCGACCTAAGCCTCGGGGCCATCAAACACGGATCCGCGACGCAAGACCACCCTGGGGAAGGGTCGGGAGTATCGGGGCCGCAAATGGAAGCAATCAGCTCGGCGTGCAGGCGGCCCGGGTTAGTAGGTCGGCCCTGCCAGATCAGGGGCACCCTTGTGTCCTGTGTCTCGCGACCCATGTTTTCTTGCATTCCTATAGCCATGTGGCCCTCGGAAGGGCCTCGCGCCCTCTCGCGGTGTCCTGTCCATATCAAAGTCCAACTGTGTGTCGGGGGATATACCACGGCTGGGCCAGGGCCCGCTCTCTCGTCCTGGAGAGCCCGCGTCGCCACGGCCGGAGACTGTCCTCGCGATGTTGACCAGAACGCACCTCGGGAGAGCTCCTCTGGAGGCCTCCTCCTCCTCCTCCTCCTCCTCCTCCTCCCCTCCTCCTCCTCCTCCTCCTCCTCCTCCCCTCCTCCTCCTCCTTCTCCTCCTCCGTAGCCATTTTGGCTCAGGCCATTCTGGCTCAAGCAATCCGTATCCCGAGGCAGCTGGCCAGGACAGCTACGGGGCACCAGTGACGAGCCCCTCTCCAGGCTGCTGGTGCCTCCTTCGAGGCTCGACCTCATCACAAGGACGGCTGTCTTCTACAGCACGGTTTCCGATTATTCGGGCAGCTCTTCTGACGAGCACGGTAGCCGAGGGCCTCGCGATCAGCACAGCCGCAGTGGGGGCGAGGAGCGCCAGCGTCGCCGCCAGCGCCGCAGCGGTCGCAACGGTTGGGTTGATGACGGCACCCGAGGCGTCGCCAGCCGAGCCGTGCAGCCTGCTCGTCGTGAGCGCCACCGCCACCCCCACGCGCGAAGGGCGAAGCGGCCTGGCGGCCCCTCTGCAGTGGGCTGGCGCAGCTGGCAGTGGCAGCCACGCGCTTGGAACGCCCTCTGCCGCGGAGGCCCCACATGAGGAGCAGGAGGCGCAGGAGGAGGAGCAGCAGCAGGAGGAGGAGGAGGAGGAGGAGGAGGAGGAGCAGGAGGAGGAGCAGGAGCAGGAGCAGGAGCAGGAGCAGGAGCAGGAGCAGGAGCAGGAGCAGGAGGCGGAGGAGAAGGAGCGGCCTGCAGATGCTGCTGCTCCGCCAGCCGACGCCCTCCAGGTGTGCGGCCCATGGCGAGCGAGCAGCTACTGCAGTGGCCCCGAGCATCTCCCAGGGAAGAGCACACCGCTATGGAGCGCGACTGGGAGGCCATGGAGTCGCAGGAGGCCCCTGGCCAGCCGCTCTCTGCGACGCCGATTGGAGGCATGGCCGCTCCTTTTGGATCCGGTCCCAGTGGTAGCGGGCAGGGCAGTTCTATACAGAACAATCTCCTGGCCTTGGTCCAGTCCCGCATGGATGCCACCGTCACGCAGCTCAACTCCATGTGCAAGCACTCCTTGGGAGCTGGCCGAGGCTATGGCGGGCTACATCGACCCTGTGGTCAAGAACATGGCCCACCAGCCGAACGAGATTCACCAGATCAAGCGACGACAGGCTGACATGGAACAGGACAACGCACGTCTCCTCGAGCAGACTGGCGAGATCCGCACTGCGTTGGCCCTTGCTGAACGTTCTCTCCCTGCTGCTGACCTGGCCAAACTCGCAGAACATGGCCGCGATGCGGACCCACTCCTCTTCTCAGCCAGCTGCGGCGCCATGTTCGGCTAGCCCGCGGTCTCGGCCGGCATCGCCGAGTGGCTGGAGGCCTCGACGGTGCCCGCCGGGAGCCCGGGGCCGGTCGGCGGAGAGGTGCCTTCGAAGCGGTTCTTCCTTGGGCTTCGAGGCGGTGCAGCAGGTGGGCGGCGCGCGTGCCGTGGCCCTGGCCCGCTCCCTTCGCTCAGGGGCAATGATGGGGGGGGGATTGGCATCGGGGGGGGATACATCGACCCCCAATCGCCCATTGATCGCCGATGGGGGCCCGATAGCCCCAGCCTGCCCAGGAGCGTGCGGATTCGCTATCGGAGGTCTATCGCCGATCTATCGGCGATGTATCGCCGATTCCAGGTGGATGCATCCCCCCCCTGTGCCTATCCCCCCCTATCGTCGCTCCTCCTTCGCCTCCCTCGGAGGTGGCTGGAGATCCTGCCAGGCTCACGCGCCCGGCGGGCGCCGCGTGCCCCTCCCTGTGGGCGCGGACGGCGCACCTCGACAGACTCGCCGAGAGATGCACACCAGAAGGCCACACGTGGTTCGTTTCTAAGTATTCGAGTTCTTTGATTGTTTTTGTTGGGGGCAAGATCCTTGCATTTCTGATTGTTCAATTCTGTGCCTCCTCCTGGCCACCAGGGGGCCAGGAACAATTAGAAACGAGCACACTTAGAAATGAGCACGATTAGGAATGAACGACGTGTACTACTCCTGCTGCAGCAGTCCTACGCCTCCCGGAACCACGACCGGACCGCAGTCCGCCCCAAGGGCAGTATCGGCGTCGACGCGGTGCCCGTCATCGAACGAAGTGGTCCCCCAGGACTTCCCCGAGCCCTCGGCGAGTTTCTGGCACCCAAAGGCGCTACGGTACATCAGTGGCATCGAGCGCCAGCAGATGGTCGACCAGTTCCGCGAGGCCACTGCCTTCGACAACGAGGTGGATACTTCCACCTGGTCTTGCTCCTAGCCCTCGCTGGTCTCCTTGGGAGACGGCTGCGCCCCAAGGCCCTCGCAAAGGAGCAGCGCCCAGGCCAGCGTGCCCACAAGCGCCATGGCAAGATGCAGCGTCAAGCTTCCTCAGATGCGCGTGCTGGTTTTTATCCAAGAGGCGCACGGCTCTGAGGTCAAGCTCCAGACGCTACTGAACCAGACTCCGTATCAATACCGCGTCTTCTTCTCGCCTGGCGACTTGCCTGGCATTGCCTGTCTGGCCTTCCTAGTCCACTGTTACTCGGACTCGCAGGTTGCGGCAGTGGTCTCGAGCGCCCTCCACTCCTTCAAGCTCGAGCCCCAAGTCTCGGGGCGCGTCGCGGTCCTCGCAATCAGCTAGCCACGCTAACAATGAGCACGTGAGGATCATGAACATTCAGAATCACGAATTACCTGCCCGCAAGCTTCCTCTCGTTCGCCGTCACTGGCTTGATGGAGCTGCTTGGGTTCAAGCTGACGAACGCCACCGCATCTTCATCGCCATTGGTGACCTCAATATCGCAGGCACTGAACCGTTGCACTTATCTTCGCCGTCGGCGGCTTCCTCATCGGCTACGCGACCGTCTACCACTCGAATTTCGTCGGCATCGGCCACGTCTTCTTCAGCTTCCTCGACGTCTTTTGTTTCAGCTGTTAATTCTCAGCATGTCCCGGAAACGCTCCGCCGGAGAATTCTGGCGTCGCCCCTCGCGGATCGCCGACGAGCTGTTGGCAACGGCCGATCCGTCCGGCAGTGGGGCAACCAGGCCCAGGGCTTCTGGCGCAATCTCTTCCAGCGGGACTTGGTGGAGGTGGTGCGCGAGCTCCCCGCGCGCTAGTCCATACGCCACCAGACGTCTTCCTTCATTGCAGAGCCTTCGTCTCGCTGAAGTCCTAATTCCTCTTGGATACCTCCGTCGCCTTCGAGATCTGGCAACAGGCGGCCACATTGGCTGACTGGGGCCTCAGCGACCTCGCCATCATCCAGCTGGAGATTCAGCCGCGCGTCGCTGGTGCTCCTGATGTTCGGGCTATCCCGCAGAACGCGTTCACCTCTGCGCGCTGCTCCAAGCATTCCACCAACCCGCTCAACCATTCCGACTTCTCGGACATCGCGGTGGAGAACCGCTGGGCGGAGGTCAAGCTGCAGATGATCGATTCCGCGCGTATCACGCGCAATGAGCTTCAGGCCTTGCCCAGTGGATATGGCTCTGGAGAGGTTCTTGATGGACGCGGCATATCGGCTCGCGCAGTTGCGATAGCCATCTGGAAGCTGGACTTCCACCTCGCGCCCAAGCTGATCACCTCGACCGACATGGGCCGCCAGCACCTGACCATCAACAGCGACGAACACATCTCGCTCTCCAACCCCAGCGCGTTCGAGCAGGAGTGCAGCGCTAGCAGGCGGCAGCGGCGGCTCGCCTCCGTGAGAGCGCGCGCTTGCAGGCTGGCGCGGAGGGCCCCGCCACGCTGCGGCTGAGGAACATGCAGCGTGCCGCCCAGCGACGCGCTCTTCTTTCGATCCCATATCGACGCAGACTGGCGCTTGCTGGCGTTCGAGCGGATGGCGAGGGACACCAGCCTCAATGTGGAACGACACCCCACCATGATCATCGACGGCTTGCGGCAGCGCTGGCAGCCCATCTCTGCGGGCCGCGCCGTCGACGCCGCTGCGGTGCATGGTTGCTCGAACACTCGTCTCCGTGAGTTCGAACAACCTGTCCTTGAAGTTCCCTCTCCTGCAGTAGTGCGGCCGCCCCTGCGCCGGGCCGAGCCCGCAGCCCCTGGACCTGACAAGTTTTCCGCTGTTGCTTGGTTGGCTGACTTTCACCTCGCGGGCATCCTCTATGACATGATGGTTGGATGGTCTCAGGGCAAGGGTGCCCCGCATGTCTTCAACTTCGCCGATATGCTCTTCGCCCCCAAGGGTGACGAGCCGTCGGACTCCGTGGACGCGACCGGGCACGCGTCCAGGCTCCGACCGTTGAGCCTCAAGAGTTATGCTGCCAAGGCCGTTGCAGCCGCGGCAAACCGTGCCCTCGCGCCGCTGGCTGCCGCGCGGGCGCACCCGACCTGCGCTGTCGCAGCTTCCCGTCGCACGTCGTCCGTCAGGATGCGACCGCCCGCGC